ATTGCAGCCAAAAAGGGTTGTTACAACCACACATTATAGCAGTTAAATATACAAAATTTCAACTTCCTGACGTTACCAATTTTTGAGTTACGAGAGACACATACATATTTTTTAATGTACAGGTGCCACGACAATCTCTTCTGAATCCACTAAAAATGAGTTCAATTTTAAAATCCCTTTTGGATAAAGGAGTCCTTTATTCCATCTATATATCTATATTACTTAGTACAATGAAATAAAAATGTGTGTTTCAAAAGTTTATAGACAAATGTAATTTTATGCAAATTGGTTAGCAATAATCATGATGGGGAGAACTTGAGCCTTTTATATGGTAATGCCCTCATTCAAACCTCCAATATAAAAAAACCTCCAATATCATTTGAACTGAGTTAAGTATGGCAAAGTACGCAACTTTTTGATCTTGAAGTTAATATGATTCTGAACCTTAAATTGCACAGTACGTCTATTAAAAAAATTCTGAAACTTCAGAACTGATCTTAAGCATGAATCATCGTGCAATATCTTGAAAGAAGCGACATCAGCCAAAACCACATTCAGGAAGACCGGGAGTGAAGAGCAGTTTTAGCCATAGACGGACAAAGAATGACTTTGACACAGAAAATGGCGGTTTGCCAAATTAATAGTAAGTAGTTTTAATGCCGAATTATAAGTCGGTTTCCTTGTGGATTGCAAGTATCTAAAAATACTGCTGCTCACAGGCAAATTAAACAGCCTGGCTATACGATTCACGTAAAAATGGCTCAATCATTAACACTCTCAAAGCTTCACAAACGAAAGAGATTACAATGGAACCACATGGCATATGGTTATAAATATATCTCTGTAATTTTCAGTGATAAAAAAATTGGAATCCAAATGGTCCCAACACGCATTCCACTACTGGCACGACTTATGAAAAGAGCCTCAGAGCTATTTCAAAAGAACAATGGAGGTAGATCTGTATGGTGTAGACAGCTTTTGGTTTCACCTTTCTAGATGGTCAGCAAGATTCGCCTAAGTACATAGAAACACTAACAGACAATCTGATGGCATTTGCAAAAAAACACTGGAGGATAGGGCCACAAATGGTAATTTGCACAGTTCTGCTTAGGCAAGAAGCAAATGATCGATTTACATATGTGCATGAAGTTTTTCAACTAGTGAAAATTTTCCAGTTTTTCTTGCTAAATATTTGATATATGGTTACTATTTTCAATCTTCTGTTGATGGGAGAAAAAATGTTATAAGCATCATGTCAGTTGTGATAATGCATTTTGATACATTACTAGCAGCAACTGCTGAACTGTGACCATTAGAAAGTGTCCATTTAAAAGAAGGCATGTTTTATGTGTTGGTTATTTTAAATAAATTGCTTCCAGAAAACAGTGCATTTAGGATGGATTGGATTATTCAATTATGTCAAAGTGCACGAGGGCTATCTGCCTATAGGAAGGGATGCCTTCGTGGAGGACTTTCTAAGGGAAACTGGCTCATATGCACATTACACATGGGGAAAACCACAAAACCGCCCATGCAGCCAGCCTGTTCACGGGATTCAAAACTCGAACCGAATTACCAGTGTTCAGCGTCTTTACCACCCACCCCGCTGGTGGGCCAACAGTGCATTTAAATGTATTAAATAAAATAATGAATTCAAATTTATATTATTATTATAATTTTAAATTTATATTATGTTTATTTAAATGTATTAAATAAAACAATAAATTCAAATTTATATTAAACTGCTTCTTCATACATATTTCAAACAAATCACATAGTGTACACACTAAATAAATTGCCTGTGTGCATCGGTAACCATTCATTTCTTGCCAAAGCCACTAAAACAAAAGCAACTAAAATATATTTTTAATATAACAACATTTTTCATTTTAAGCCTATTTCTTTAAAAAAAAATCAGCAGACCACATATTTCCTTACTATGCTCAAATTAAAAATGACTTAATGACCAATATAAATGCTAAAAACTATACATCACTAATAACATTTATAAAAGTACTAGAAATACTCAATTCTCTAATTAAAGTAAACAGATTTGTATTTTGAAATAAAAAGCAGAACTTACACTACTATCGTTGTGCTAGATCATGTTCAGATTTTGGAATGTCGAAAACTTCAGCAAACAATGGTGACAGTTTCAGATGTGCCCAGTTGGCTCGGAACCACCTCAAATGTTCTAAATGTTTCTCTCCCAGCGTGCGTAACTCAGGTAATTTGGAAATAAGGGTAACGAAGATATGAGGTTCATTTGGATGGTCTTCATTTAATTGGTATTTTAGTGCTTCAATTAATTCTTCCTGCCTCTGCTGAATAGATTTATGATCATATATGCCATCTCGCTCTGAAAGAGAAAAGATTAATATAATTTTCAAATCATGACTATTAATTTGAAAAAAAATATCAGCTGATAATTCAATACAGGAAATCAAAAACATTTTCTTTTAATATATATAAGGATGGTAACTTTATACTTTCCAATACAAATCAAAAAAAGTTCATAAAGATAACTGTTAAATATTTTAGTCGTGTTATTTTAAACACGTGATTGTAAAGTATGTGGAGTATGTATGGAGAATTATCCATTTCTGAATAAATAACATATCTGAAAGAAACGTTCCAACATTAAAATTAAACTAAATTTATAAAAGTATAGGAAATGCTTCATGCAGTTTATGAGAATGCACTGTCAATCTATCTAAAGAGGCAAAAATTATTCAGCCAACATAACCAGTGTCAAACATATTATGGAAAAGTGACAATCGCATAAAGCAAAAGCTATTATCTCTTGCATGCATCCTGGAATCCAAGTCTTCAAAAAACAGTTTCAGATTTGACCTACATTAAGAAAACAACTTAATATTTATTTGTTTACTTTATTAAACATTTCTTTCAATGTAAGTTATTTAAGTTGCTTTGCTTTTTGTGCTAATACTTTCTCCTTAATTCTATAGACAGATATAATTTCTTGTTCAGTTACAAAGATCCATTTTTTTTAAGTCCTGTAATTGCTGTGTTGAGAATTCAGACCAACTTGTCAATCGAAATTTTTCGTTTTCAATAACCTCTCTGCCACTTTCTTCACTATCGGTAGTGGTATTTTCTGGATCTAGAAATGTACCACAGATTTCGCCGTCCATTAATTGAGTGATGATTGGGGCATTATCATCACAATGAAAAGCTTCTATTATATCATCTTCATTTATTCCCACTTTTCCGCATATCTTTACAAAATCCATTAGTTAGAAAATTTAACCTTTGGGTTGCGATATCTGAAAACCTTCAAATTCGTGGCTATCATCTTCATCATCCTCACCATGAAATATGACAGCTGGCCATAAATTATATCAAGCATTTTTTTAAAGTATCTGGAGACACATCCTCCCATGATCTTGCAATGCTCCACACAACAGATTTTATGCTAAAATATTTTAAAAATTCTTGAATATTCTTGCCATTATTCAAGAAATTTAACATGGATTTTAAAAATACTACTTTATATTTGCATTCAGGAGTGCACTATTCTGATATCCATAGGCTGAATGATGGATGTATAATTTGGAGGAAAGAATAATACGAATACATTACTTTCACTAAAACTTTAAGTGAAGTATGAGGCGAACTGTTGTCTACAATCAGGACAATTTTTGCGTCATCAGGTAAATCAACCGAATTCAAATGTTGCTGAGCCTTAAATATGAAATGACTGTCAAATCAATCATTCATCAATGCTTGTGTCATCCATGCTCTTTTATTTGCATGATAATGTAATGGGGAAAATCTTCACTTCTTTAAATGCTTGAGGTTCTGTATTTTTTACGATTACAAAAAGTTTACTTTTATGCGTTAATGCATATTAAAATTGTTAAGTCTCACTTTGGAACCTTTTCTGTAGAGGTTGCCATGGTATTTTGCAGTACATAATGCCAGAAAAGACCACTTTCATCACTTCTGTACATTTGTTCTGGAGATAACTTTTCCCTATTAATGAATTCATCTGATATTGTTCAGCAGCTTCAGTATCAGCTGAAGCTTTTTAAACTGAAATTTTTAATTGCCTTATACCCGGCAATTTTTAAATTTGGTTAACCAACCTGTCAAATAGGTGCACTCAGTTTTTAAGTTCATTTCTCCACGAAATATTTTCTTTGAGCCATTAGCATTGAATCTGTCAATAGCACACTGTCTGACCCATTTAATTATCACTTTGCCATGATAACGAATAATTGTTCTGTTATTCATTGCGAGTGGGGTGTTGGAATCTATGAAAAATTCAAAAAATTCCTTTTTCCATTTTCTTGTGTCATATATAGTTATCGATGGCCTACGCTTAAGGCTTATCGATGGCCGACGCTAGATATCGAACCGCCTGATGCAGTGTCTGCGGGTCCTAAATTCTATTACCAAGTTCCAAATATTTGCTGGCCCTAATATTTTTTTTACCAGTGCTTTCCATAAATTTCGCCACCTGGTGTGGCCATTTGAGCTCTGGCACTGGTTCTGGGTTTATGTTAATAAAAATCAGTTATTCTTAATTCAAAGAGCAGCAAATGTAATCTTTTGGCCTATGAGTATTATTAACAAAATCCGTTTTTAGCATATGGAAAGAAATTGTTAAATTTTTCTTGGTCAACATTTCTTAGTGCATTTAACTTAAATTTTTAATCATTTTATATTTGTTGTTCAATTACTAATATAAAAAAATTGTTTAGGCATCGCTGCATGAGACATTACTCAAGTTGTAATGTGTTGATAAACATGCGGTGATGAAAGCAAAACGTAATAAATAATGATTCGCCAGGTTGGGGGTCAGAGATATAAAATATTAGTAGTGGTAAAATCAAAGAATGTTTAGGTGTGAGATGTATGCCAGGCAGATACCCTTAGCTATGGAACCAAATTATTGATCACACAAATTTATGCTAAAATCATTGTTTCTTCAACGAGATATTTTGTTTAGTGCTGAACTGAGATTAAGAATCAGGACCCTCCATCTGTTTTATTATGGGAGGAAAAAATCAAATGCACATGCAGAAAAACACAAAACTTCCTTAAAAAAAGAAGAGAGAGAGAGAGAGGTTGCCAGGCTTTGAGATTTGGACTTTACATTCTGAATATTGGATGTCCATATCTCATACTTTGTACTGTATTTTATATATGCTTTAATATTGCTTGTACACAGTATTTGTTTGGATGTGTGCACTACATTTGTTTACCTCTTCTGAGACTATGCTATGACTACCCATGATTATCCGTACATTGTTGTAACTATTCAGTAAACAAACTGAGTTGTAATTCTGAATTTTCTAGCAATAATGTGCTTTTTCAGATGTGTATTTTGTAAATTCATTAACAGTAAATTTTAGAGAAGTTATTGAGAAGAATAAGTAATGAAGAGAATTCTAAAAATCACCATGGAGTTGAATAAACAGACTGTTGAAAAATATGAAGATGGCATGCATTATCCTGCTACTGCATAACATATGCCAAGCACAATGGTTTTCTCCACCCAATTTTTTGTTCAATTAATTGTTGACATTTAAAGCCTAAACTCAGTTGCTGGCAATACAGTTTTTTCATAAGTCTATCCTTGACCAGTTTCTTGTCAAGAAAAATAAAACTTTTCAATCACTTTTGCTTTCAAAAGCAATATTTTGACAGTATTTAGTAATACTAATTTAGAAGTCAAACAACAAAATTCAGTCAAACAACAAAAAACCGCAGCTGAGGATAGTGGTTCGGTAAAACCATCGAAACTAGTCCAGTGAAAATTTTGTAAATATTACGCTGAATTTTGTTGTTTGACTTCTAAATTAGTATTTATTCGGCGTGTTATTGTGTCTTAAGTATTTAGTAATCTAATGTTAGTTAAAGAAAATAATACTGAGATAATTAAGTATTCCAACAGTTCATGCTTACAAGACACATCCTGATGATCTACGATCATCCATGGCATATACAGCATAAGAAGGAAATTATTAGGAAGATCAAATGGTAATTAAATTTTTTCGCTAAGATTTTACTGTAATGTGAATTTATGTAGTATTCATGGCCACTACACCGGCATATAATTTCTTCAAGATGCGTACACTGGTCCTCAGGTTCTCCAGGTCCTGAATATTCATTCATACAGGAAATCCAAAACATTTTTAAGCTGGAATTTCACCACTCTGAATGCATTCTGGATACTGAAGGGACGTTATCTAGAACTATATTTCTAGCACAAATATACTGATCTTTTAAGTGATGCTGCAATATCTAGAATGCATTTCTATGCGACTGCTGAAAATCTCTGTATTAATCCTTCCAACTTCTTTTAATGAAATACAGTCAAAAGTCTTTAATCCGGACTCTGCAAAAAATAATAAGCCGGATCCAATTCGAAGATTAAAGGAACAACACAATCATCAACATTAACTGAAATAGATAATTTTAGCTTATATCGTCCGTTTTACATTAAACGTGCACGCGAAAACGTATTCTGCGCTTGCACAAACACATATGTGCAGTCGTAAATGTCTTGCACGCACGCGTAAAATGCCTATGCGTATGCATCAACGCGGCGCATGCGCAGAAAGATTTTAGCTTTGAGGTCCGGATTATAGATCATTCCGGATTATGGGTGTTCGAATTAACGACTTTTGACTGTATCAGCAAATGTAGCATTGCAAGCATTAATTACAACATGTAGGCATTGAAAATCGATTGTTTTTTATTTGCAATACATGCTAAGAGTACTGTACAGTATTATAAATAAAATTCTGTATAATACCTACTTAATTTATAAACAGGGATAATATATATCTTTCAAGGAAAATATAATGTGTAAATACTAGAAAAATTAATAAAAATACAACTTACCAGCAGTCAGAAGCACAACAGCCGAGTACAAAGCAATTTCGGAATCATTCAGTTGTAAATCGTTAAACCAGCACACAAAATTGAATAGAAGGGAAACGAATTCTCGCTAAACAATTAAATAAAAAGAAATATCAGAATTTAATATAGCAAAAGCAAAACTGACACAAGAAAACAACATTACTTAAAAACAAACTAACAATGTCATCTTACAGGAAGCTGCAATAAATGACAACTATAATAAAAGTAATAATAAGGTAACAAAATGAAAATTACCAATATTCTCCATTAAACTTATAACAATCACCATAAGAGAAGTAAATCTTTCTTCTTAAAACATATTACGTTTAGCTATCACAATCACTGTATTAAATAACTATAAAAATTCTTCAAAATCATATATATAATTACAGTTCAACAAGAACTGTAATGATTATAAAAATTTAAAAGAAAAATTCCTTAATTCTCCAACCCGCTAAGGACTGGTTCTGACATACAAACTTTCTTGAAAATGCGAGTTTTTTTTTTTTTTTTTTTTTTTTTTTTTTTTTTTTTTTTTTTTTTAAATAATAATAATATTTTTAAAATACCCCTGCTAATACTTAAACTTTCATTCTCTTAATATACTAGATACTACCTAGATACATTTCAAGTTGTACATATATGCACTTAGTTAAAAGTACTAAGAAAAATATTGGACATACTCATAAGATTTGACAAGCTGGAGGATTACAGAACAAAGCTTACAACACTTTCATGATTGTATAAAATGTAAAAAATATCAGTAAGAGAACAAACAGATTTTTAATTAAATTATTTACTACATTGTAACTTATTTACTCCCAGAAATAGCCACATAAATTAGTATCAATAACTGCAGCTTTTGCAATGCATCCTCAAATGAAGATTCCTTTCTCAAAGTACTAAAATCTACAGGAAAGGGATATTATGAAATAAAACAATATTAAATAATATTATGGAATTTAATATTCTAATGTGACATTTGAAATTATGGAGCTAAACAATATTCTGTGGCATTCAATATTATGCAGCTAAACAATATTCCAGTTTAATATTATTAACTATGAAAAAACTTTTTTATCCCTTACATTTAAGATTTTGTTTTCTAAACATTATTTGAAAAATGATGAAAATATTGGCAATTTAATATAGAAACTAAATCAACTTACATTCACAATTGGTGGTAAATTGCATGATATTGATGCAAATTTGAAAAATATAAAAAATAATAGACATGTTAGTTTATTACATAAAACCCTTATTCTTAAATTTATACAACTATTATGAGGAAGAAATTTTTGTTCAACCATCAGAATCCTCTTTAAAAAATAGTTAGCCTTGTTACTAGAATATACTGTCAAGTGAAAGGACTTTCTTTTCCTATTCACTATCAGTTTCGTACAGCTTAATGCAACATTTATGCAGAGCCTGCACAAGAGTGAGGCCAAGTGCCCAAGTGAAGCCTCAACAATGGGTTTAGGTAGGGTGCCAAATTAGCTACTTAAAAAAAAAAAAAAAAAAATTTTTTTATTCCTCTTTGAAAAAGAAATTAAGATTGATATTGTTCAAACTAGAAACACATCTCTTGGTTAGTTAGCTCAAGCTAACAACTTGGTTACCATTAATTATTTTTTCTAGTCATCTATACTTATCAGCGGTAAGGGCACTATATGCAGGCAGTTTGGCCTGAGTTCAAAACCCATTTGTAGCGGGTTTTTGTATTTTTCTTCACATGTAAGTGAATGCGAAGTTTTTTCCTCTTAACAAATCTTCTACAAAAGCATCCTTTCATTTAAACAGATAGGCCTTAGGTGCTTTGCTATAATGTAAATAACCAAGTTCATGACTTATTCAGACTGCTGCCTTTCAGTTTTCATTTTACTCAGCATATGGTCAAAATAATAAACATAAAATTATTCAAACATGAGTTAACTTACATTACTACTTTCTCTTGTGAATATTTTATGCAGCTGCATAAGACTAAAAGCAAAATGTGTGATATATCAGTTTATTACTCTTTTCCCCCCTCAAATAAAGCTTACTATTAAGAAAGTTTGCTGAATGAAATTCAAGGTTATTACATTCGTATTTCATTTATCTTTGCACTTATAAATTTATTTACACTTCTTATTATTGCCAAAACTTATGTAACAATTGTTGGTTGTTAAACAATTCACAATGATGTTTTATTTTCTCCCTAGATGTACTGTTTTGTGAATTTTAAATTCAAAATAATAAACTGCCAATTCAGGAGTTGAGAAACGAAAATTAACTGTGCATCACTGGAATGGCAACAGAATATATTCTAGTGATATTTTATTAACTGATTAAACTTTTATGACAGAACTTAGTAAACTGTTAATAGACTTGTGTTTGTAAGAAATTTAAATAAAATAAAGTTGTTAAAAATGGTAATTTCTTTCGAAGAACTTTTAGGAATTTTAGTTGAATCACAACAAATATCTGGAAGATATATCTCAGCATGGAAAAAATTTAACTAGTAGCATCAAAAGAGACAAAGATGGTGAATTTTCCTCTTCTATGTTGTTTATATGGAGTGATAACACAAAATGTTTAAAAGCAAAGGGCAATGTGGAAGGGGGAGTTTATCTTAATTTTCTTTTCTTTTCTTTTTTTTTTTTTTTTTTTTTTTTTTTTACCCAATTGCTAGATTATGTAAACTATTTCAACAGCATTTACTAACTTTGTAATGACAAAATGTAAAATTCAAATAATTTCTCAATAAAATTTGAGCAAAAATCGAATTTTCAGATAGCATTTAAAAAAAAATGTACAAAAGAAGGGGAAAATTGAGAAATTGAATCAAAGCTGTGTTTTTACAGTTTACTAATTTTCAGAAAATTATGTTTTAGATTAGCATTAGATGTTTTATTCTCACAATTGAAATGGTGATGCGAAATCTTACGATTTTTAGTTTTTGACAGGTGAAAAATCTATGTTATTAGACTGAGGTAATTTAAAGGCATCAATTTATAACTGAAATATCCAAAGGATATAAATGTTACAGAAATTCAATCAGAAAGGCATGCAATAATGCATGTTTATAATATATACACAACAATGCATATGTATGTATATACATATAGGGCATTTCAGCAGAGCAGTTACAAATTTTCAGGAGATAGAGTACACCTAGACTACGGAAAATCACAGCAATGCATGGACGGAAATGCTTCCTGGCACAGTACTGACGACACAAAGCACAAGGAAGGAAAGACAAGAACAGGATGAGAAAACATCTTTATTATGGTTTCAGCATGATGGTATGCTCCATTACAGCTTTGATGTGTGTCTTCACCTGAATGAAATGTATTCTCAACAATGGTTTGGGAAGGGTGGTCTGTTGCATTGGCCAGCAAGATCACCATACCTCACCTGAACAAAACCCCCGTTAACAGTGCTCGGGAACTTGTTGCACGCATTGTGGCAGCTCCTGAAGAAGTCTGGAACACATCCAGTATTTTCCAGAACATCAGATATTTCATGTGCTGGAGATGTGAAGCCTGCATCACGATCCAGGGTTGTAATTTAAACACCTTCTTTGATGACGATCGTTGTCTGTTTTTGCTCTCATTTCTTGATTTCTGCTGTAGTAAGCATAATAAACATGTTTTTTCACTCTGTGTCCTTCCTTTCTTCTGTTTTGAGCTGTCACTACTGCCACAGGACACTATTTCCAACCATGCACTGCTCTGTCATTTTCCATCATTTAGATGAACGGTATCTGTCCTGAAAGTTTGTAACCAGTGTGCTGAAACACCCTGTACATATATATATATGTGAGTAAGGAAAAATTCTAACTGCAACGTGCAATAGTCTCTTCTATCTCCATTTTAACTAGCCTATTGTCTCTTTATGTTCAGAAAACAGCAACTACTTATAATAAATAATAATAAACTAATATAAACTTATAACCAATAATAAAACTTTTTATCAGCCAATGGGAAAATTGCAAACCACAACTGCATCACTATGGACTAAGATTTTCATCTTGAAATCGGCGCATTTGCTTCTCCACTTCATACATGTCAACTTGCTACTGCTTGCCGTCTTCAATAATGCAAAATTCTGTAGAATAGGTGCATTTATTGCACTAATTTATTTTGTATTGGCCAATGAAAATCTAAAGATTACTTAAATCTGCTGTGACTGCAACTACATCTTTATGCCTTTACACACCCCTTGTCAATTTACAAAAAAATCGTTCCACATACATAATAATGCATGTTTTAATAGTTCCTTTAGTATTCATCATAAATAGGTCAGATAACAATATACATGAATTAAAATTCTAGCTTTAGTTTGCTAAGTCCCTAAATTCTACACTTTAATTTAGCTAATTTCCCCTTTCTGTCATAAAAATAGTAACTGCTTAATAATAAATTTATTAAATTGCATTTTTTAAAATTAATATTTGTTATGTGATTCTGACATAAAAGCTTATGATGTGGAGACTTACATAAAGCTTTGACCAATTAATAATTTCAAATTTGGATACTTTAAAAATTGACAGGGATTAATCTAATTTAAAACCAAATCATTACGAACTAACTTTCATCTTGAACATGTCACAACAGCTCCTCACTTCTTTCTCTAGCTAGGCTGCAGTCGCTGTTTCCATTTCTTGCCCAACATTTTTAAAAGTATAAAACTGATTTATGAATGGGTGCACTTAAAAGTGTGTGTGTATTTAATTATGGCAAAGTACACTAGGGCTATCTGCCTAAGGGGGAGGCATGCCTTCGTGGAGGACTTTCTAAGGGAAACTGGCTCGTATACATGTTACACATGAGGAAAACCACGAAAACACCCATGCAGCCATCCCGTTTGCGGGATTCGAACCTCGGACGAACTACCAGTGTTCAGCGACTTTTACCGCTCGGCCGCTGGTGGGCGGGTGCACTTAGAGATAAATCACACTGTTAATTATTGATCAAAAGTATCCGTCAACTGTCGTTGAAAAAATAAATACTAGATTGCAAACAAGTATTAAATCAGTCGCTACAACTGTAACTATTCCTTTATATGCTTACCTGTCTTCAACATCCACACTAATTCATATACAAGGTGGTCAAATTAACACCACCCCCCATTCTGAGCTCTCTATACATTGAACTACTTAAGTGTAGACTTTAAAATTGTTGAGCATACTATTCAAGACATGGGAGAACTGATTACGTGGGAAAAAAAAAAGTTCCAGAAACACCAATAAATGGCGCTGTACAACAGAAAATGTGCTGAAATGTGAAATGACACAAACACTCACAAACAAATAAGCACATGTGGTATAGAATTTTTCCTTCTTTATTTCTATAATGATATATATATATATTAAAAAAAAAAAAAAAAGTGAAGGAACTTAAACTGTCTTTATAACTGCAATTTTGCACTGTAAACACGAAAATTTGCATAAAACAACCCTGGTTCATAGCTACTGTTCTGGGCATAAAATGAAATAAAACTGGGGAAATGTCAGTTTTATCAGCAATGGCTGTTACACTTCCAGAACATGCTTTGCTTGTTAAATTGTTTTACGAAAAAAAAGGAAATGCTGCAGCTGCACTTTGAGAGTTTCGCTGACTTAAGAACTTATGCAAAGGACCATTACTTCCACAAGCTCTCAGGAAAATGATTGCTCAATTTGAGAAAACTGGAGATCTTAAGAGTTCAGCCCAGTCGAGGACGCAAATCGACTCGTTTAGATGTTGGTGAAGATGTAACCACTGATATTGTAGAGCAATCGATGGATAATGTTGTAGGATGAAGTTGTGCAAGTTTAGTGTGACAGCACTTGGGCTTGGGTCTTCCCCATAGTACAGTGTAGAATGTATCGTGAAAAATGGTGCATATTTACCTGTACAAAATTCATCATAATCAGGAGTTGCTATCCATCGACAGGGAGAAGCAACTGACCTTTGCACCTGACTAATGAAGCACGTTTAAATTTAAGTGGAACAGTAACTGTTACATTTGGGACACGAAAAAACCCTGTACCTTCCAAGAGATTCCACTTCACTCACCGAAAGTTGCAGTCTGGTGTGGATTCACAGCCATATTTATTCTGGAACCTTTCTTTTCTGAAGAGGCTATGCGCAGTGGCCCTGTGACATGAACCCTGACAACCAGGAGGTATGTAAACATGCTCAGCGCCAATGTCTTGATTCAGTTATTTTTATACAAGATGGAGCACTTGCACACGTTGGACACTGTGTACAGCAGTTTCTTTGGCAACATTTTACTAATGATGGAGTAATGCATTTCTGACAACCTGGTCATCTCATTCTCTAGATCTTAATCACTGCGATTTTTGGCTGTGAGGTTACTTAAAAAATTTTGCTTATCGTGAACATCTGGCAACCTTGGTGGATTTGAAAGACAGTATCACTCTGCATGTGAGAAGCATCTCAATCAACTAATTACGATCCGCAGTTGAACAAGCTGTCCACACACTGCAGATTTTACATCTTGAAGGGAACCATATTGAGCAGCTTCTCTGCATCGATAAGGTCCTAGTGATATAAATGTTTGGTAAAGATTTTAGTGATATGAATCTGTGGTATGTTTGAATAAAATGTGTTACAGATATGTACTTTTTGTCTTTACAACATATTTTCTGTTGTACAACTCCATCTATCGGTGTTTCCGGAACTTTTTTTTCCGCGCAATCCGTTTCCCCACGTCTTGAATAGTATGTTCAATAATTTTGGAGCCTTTACGCTTAGTAGTTCGATGTATAGTGGTAGAGTAGGGGTGTTTTAATTATAACCACCTTGTATATACACATTTCCTGTTAAAAATTACGTAAGCACAACTCTACAAACATGAATTGATTTTATATCAAGAACTTTTTCAATGTGGTTAAATTTAGCTTCTTCAGTTTTTCTCAGAACATTTATGTACATAAGCAGTGAATCACAAAAACTATGCAGAATCATTCACATTATCATATAACTATAAAACATAAAGCTTTGTTCTTGGGCAGCAAGGCCTAGGAATGCAACCAAATCAAAATAGTAGCATTCATACCAGCAAAAAGACACTTTTCTGTTAACAAGGTACTGCTTAGCACCTTAATGTGTGCTACTTATTATTAATAGTTTAAAGCAATTGCTTTAAAATTTCCATTTCTTCAGTTTCTTAAGTCAAGAAAAATACAGTCAAAAGTCGTTAATCCAGACTCGTCGAGACTTCGACGATTCCGGAATATCGGTTTTTCCAGATTATAGATAATCAGTTTAAATCTGGTAAGATGGCATGCAGAAATTATAAAATTAAAAATATGAAACCATAATTTATAAAATAAAGAGCAATTTTTATTTAAAGGGTATCGAAATTTACAAAAAAAAACTTAATATTAATTTGTTTACTTTATTAAACATTTCTTTCAACGCGTGCATGCGTAAAAAGCATACATTACGCATAGTCGAAATTAGAAAATTGCAACCAGAAAACTATTTGATGTGTATTCGTGATATTTATAATGACGAAGAATTTGATTTAAATCATATCAAAGATGGAGTACATCGAGATGAAATACTACATTTAGTAAGGAAGCAATTATAAACCGAATAAAATAAAAACATCTGCCCTGAAGATAAGGATAGTGCTGACAGATCAACTTCAGTTCATTGCGCCCCGCGACGTCCCCCCACTCAGAGCAGCGTGAAATTGATAAACAGATTTCGAAATGGTTAGAGAAACAAAGGATATGCCTTTATCCATTTTTTGCAGCAATTCCACTTTTTTTTGATTGACATCAAAACATGCTTTCGCTTTGTAGATCCTTTGGCAACTCCAGAATTGGAAATTCTTTTTGACATAATTGAAAGTTCAAGCTTACTTTTATAAAATTGCTCTAGCAGTCTGCAAAAAATAATAAGCCGGATCCAATTCGAAGATTAAGGAACAACGCAATCTGCAACATTAACTGAAATAGATAATTAGATCATTTTAGCTTAGCTTATACCATCCGTTATACATTAAACGCGCATGCATAAGGTATAATGTGTTTACGCATGTGCAGAAAGTTTGTAACTTTGAGGTCCGGATTTATAAATCATTCCGGATTAAAGACTTTTGACTGCACTACCAAAAAAAGGGGGGAATCAGTCAAACACAACCAAAAATATAATTGCACATTCTGTTTCTTTCAAACATCATCACCAAGGAGCCAGTCATCACAATAACCATATTAGAGAAAATGACACACCTGACAAAGAAACTTGAAAACATTCAAGGTTTTACTTTGATTGTATATCTAATATTTAGCTAGATAACGGTTGGCTACTTAAGTGCTTATGACTATTGAAACTTTGAAAAACAGAAATTTATACTTTAGGCATGGAAAAAAAAAAAAAAGGTCACCCTTCCACAATCAGCTGTGGTTTATTCCCGAAACTTTTCAGTTAATGGGACACCAGATGTTAGATGTGGTAGCCTGTTTATATTGCATTATGAACAGCTGCACAATTTTTAACGTGACCAAAGCTAAGACTTTGCAGGATGCTGAACTATCCAATTCTTTGATTTAAGAGAAAACAGATCGCGGTGTACATGAGAAAGAACTCTGTGCATACTAAAAGGCACTACATGCATTTAACATTATATATGTATTACATAATACATCACTGTTATTACAAGTTATTTATGCCTGGTATGCCAGTATCTTGTTAACAGAAGTAACCTTTTGCTAGTGTGACTACCACATTAATGATACTAATGTAAAAATATACAAGACACAGAATGTATGAAGTCAAAGTTTGCCAAGAAACCACAAAGAAATTTTGCCCATTATCCAAGTTCCTAAGAAAATGAAAATTTGAGGCTTCTGAAAGGATGAATCTGAAATAAAATATTTCCCAAGAATGAAAAGTAATTGTAACATAATGAAACAAAAAATACTTACATCAAACATGATCTCCATTTGCTGTTTTGATATGTAGCTGCCGTCACTGAATGTTACAGTGCCATCGATGGGATTGATAAGACGTGCTGCATGCACTAGCCAAACTTCAAAAAAACCTAATTTAATGCATAATAGCTTGTCATCTTGTATGAAGTCTTGGAAACCTGGGATGCGTTTAGCAAACTCTACTATTTGCTGAATGGAAGGTGTAAGCAGAGCAGCAAATTGTTGCCACATGATAATTTTTTGTAATTCTAAACTGCCAACTCCACCTTGACTATCAACAGCATTATGTTGATACTCTGTCATACTCTGAAAAAAAGGAAAAAAAATTACAATGAACTAACTGCTCTGAACAGATATGCGCAAAATGTACGCATGTAAAGAATTTAAGATACTTATTGGTTAATGGATGATTCGTTCTACTGATCTATAGAAATAAGTATAATCATATCTTTGATAAAGAACAGCAAATCAATATTTGCTGGACTGCAGTATTAGTCCAAAATAAAACATGAGGGAGGAAAGGTGCTAATTTTAGTTGCTTAGTTTTTAACGTGTATTTAATTAAGCTTTCTGTCTAAAAATATTAAAATTCTGTTCATTTATATCATAATGAATTAAAATCACAATTATGATTTACCTCATTACAACATACTATATACAGGGTGAATCTGGACAAGTGGACAAAACTTTAGAGGGTAACAGAAGGCAGTTATACAAGCAATATTCGTCATAGAATGTATGGTCAGAACGCATGCGGTGAGAAGTTAAAAGGTAGTTAGTTAGAGTAGATTTAAGGGTTTTTTCTTGTATTATCATGAACTCGTTGTTTCATTTACTGGCAAGTTGTTGTTTCATTTGTGGTAATCTGAGTAGTTGAATGTTGCGGAAACCATATTATGACTAATTGGTTGCGTGTTTTTGGTGAATTTGAACGATGGAAAAAGATTTGTAAGGGCTTGTGGTGTGTGCTGGTTAGGAAGTGCGTTGCTGTTTTGAGGTTTAGATGGTAAAATGGCTGAATGCGGTAAGATTATTTGAAGTTTCTGTACGATTTGGAACTAAAGGGGAAAAGAGCATTAATTTACTGGTGTGTAAATGAAGGTTTACTTAATAGCCATTATCAGTTTCCTATTTATTGGAAGGAAATATGTATGGTCGAATGTCGGAGAATACTGACACTACGGAGGATATTTTTTACTCTTAACTTTGTGAATTTATGTGGTGACGCCAGTATACAGATTCTAGTTCAGATAATTTTAGCAAGTTTTTGGATGCTGTTAAGCAATTTTGTTTGACCAAAGACAGGGAAATTTCTAAATAATGTAAGTGGCTATTTCCTTTGTGTAGTTGCTAAGATGAATTTCTTTCTTTATACTGCTTGATTTAAAATGTAGTTTAGTGAGATAACATATTTTTTTGTTGGCTGCTCCTTTGACCTTTTTAAGTGAAAACAGATTGATGTGTACATGGACAAAGTCAATGGAGTGCGCAATGCCAAGTTTGTGCAATTCTCTGATGATTTTTTAAGTGAAAATAGATTAATGTGTACACTGATACAGAGTTTGTGCAATTCTTTGATTTTTACCAAGGTAGTTTTTTCTCTCATATTTAAAGAATTAACACAAGAATGACAGCAGATACTTCAATAAACACTTTTTAACAGGAATGTAATTGACTTACATTCTCAAAGAAATTGCTCAAAGAACTTCCGCCAGCCGTAATGCAGACATCGATTTATCCTGTACACAAGATGCAAGATGACACTGTCTGTCAACCAATTAAATACTAAATTTTATTGTGCAATTTTTAAAAACCTTTGGCTACTATTTATAAAGATTTATATATGTATGTTTAGATGCTGCAATGTTATGGTATTGTACTGAAATACTCTGAACTCTTATCGTCCATGCCAATTAACCCTCTGAGCATTATGACCGGTTTTATGGGGTCATCAGAAGTTTTTGTTACTTGGCATATATTAGCTTATAATTTAAGATATTTTGCTTTCTTACTACTTTAATAATTTAATATTTATATATTTAATAATTTAATATTTAATATTTAAAAATTTAAATATTATCTTAATGATTTTAAGTTTATAAAAATACAGACTAAAATAAGTAATTATACAAATTCAATTTATAAATGCTGTTTAAATAGCAGTCTTTACGACAGATCTAAAATCCTGTGCCGCTCAGAGGGTTAATGCAGATTTTTAAAAACTTAGATAATCAAAAATATCTCTGCAAAACTGTAATTTAAGTATAGATATTATAAGAATTTAACTACTGCTAATAAATAATACATAATATACTGTTTAAACTGATTTAACTAAAAAATAATAAAATGAACGTTGACAGTTTACTCTTTTGTCAAAAGTCTGGTTATCCCCTTCTAGATCATACTGTTTTTTTAATCATACAATGCGACACATAAAGCTATGATCTCATTAAATTAAACTTTGTGAATTCATATGATGCAACAGCTTGCTTACATATTTCAGTGCCCTATAATCTGGGATTAGATCTGTTATATCTTTATTAGAAGAATCTGTTTATGATATTAGGGATAAGTTTTCTACAAATGAATCAGCATTAAAATTTTATCTTTGCCCTTAAATATTAGCTTCAAGATTCACTACATCAGAAAGCAAAACTTTCTTTTGAGTGTTTTCCATCATCAGGCAACAATCCAAGAACCACTTGGAAAAACAACTGATATATTATTAGGAGACTACTGTTATTTTAGAAAAAGTAAAAATGCATCTTTCATAAAACTAGCATATTATTAAAAGTAATCATTTCCTAGAACTTAAGAAAGACATCAAAAGCATGCCAGCCTTTAGTTATGAAAAAAGCAATACGCTGTTTTACATGAAACTTCTTTTCATATACAAAAAAAGCTCACTTAAAATTTCCTTTATAATGATAATATTAAACGAATATTTTTTTTTAACTTTATTCTTAATTGATAATTACATAAGAATGCTAATGAATGATTCAAAAAATAAAATTAAAAAAATTGATAATCATGTTAGTTTGCAATCTAACACTTTTAGTTATACATTTATTTCTTAAATAATGACACTAAAACACTGTTTTAAAATTCAAAAATGCAGGAAAAGAAATGATTATAACAACAACCACTTTTAATGCAACCATCTAAAAAATAACTGTCTACAAGCAGTAGATCAGATACTACATGATCACTTAAAAAAAAAAAAAATATGATGTGTACACCACATGACTGCCTTGTACAAAATATTAAATTATACGCACTTTTTCTTGCATTTCATTTTAACTTATTGGATTGAACTAAATCTACTTCGATAATAGCGCACAAGCCACAATAAAATAAATGAACTCTAAAATTCACTATATTTGTTTACCATAGCAACATTCTGGCACTAGGTTCACTTAACAGCATTATATTTCATTCATATTATATCTCAGAATGCACAAAATTTATATCATTTGAAGAATTAACCAATTGTTGCCACATGTTCTATTCAAATACTATAATAAATCTAGAACGATGTATAAGCAAACAAAACAAAAGCAGTTTTTCGCAGACGATTTAGTATTTCTCATTCAATTAATTCAGTTCTCACTTCACGACAAGGCAAAAATACATAAAAAAACAAAATACCTATATAAAAAATTACGAAGTAAATCTTAAACACTTATTTCCTCGAAAAATTTCAGAAAGGATTAAGCATGATTTAATTCACAATAATAAACGAAGGTGTTATCTTTGTTGTTGCGAAGCTTAGTCTCTCTAGATTGGCAACAAATCTATTATTCTGCTGTTTCAAATGTAAACAAATACGTAGCGTATTTGGAAACTAAGTACCGTTTCATTCTAATGCCGTCGTAGCGCTGGTAGGCATCCCGCGCACTAATCTTTCTTGCTCACTGACTTTCAATTGTCACCATTTTGGTTGCTCTATGTTGTGTTTTCAGTTTGCTGTGCACATTCAAAAATGTTTAAGATAATTAGTTCTCCCGCTGACTGTGAGATTCGTGCCGTGATTAAATTTTTGAACGCGAGGAATGTTAAACCGGCCGAAATTTATCGTCAAGTGACGGAAGTTTACGGTGAATACGCGATAAGTGATGGAATGGTGAGAAAGTGGGTAAGAATGTTTAATGCAGGTCGAACAAATGTCCACGCCGAGGCTCGGAGTGGTCGCCCTTCTGTTGTCACCGATGATTTGGTAAGGAAAGTTGATGAAGCAATTCATGAGAACAGACGCTTCACAACGACAACTCTTTCAAAGGCATTTCCACAAATTTCACGTACTGTTTTGTTCGAAATTGTGTCTGACTGCTTGAATTATCGCAAACTGTGTTCCCGATGGGTTCCAAAAATGCTCACTGATGTTCACAAAACAAAGCGACTTGGTAGTGCCCTGACATTTCTCACCGGTACAGTGATGAGGGAGAAAACTTTTTAAACCAAATTGTGACAGGTGATGAAACTTGGGTGTGTCATTTCACACCAGAGTCGAAACAACAATCGACGGAGTGGAGACACACTCATTCTCCGAAAAAACAAAAGTTCAAAGTGACAATGTCATCACAAAAAATCATGTGCACTGTCTTCAGGGATAGGAAAGGCATTTTGCTTACTGAATTTCTTCCCAGAGGTGAAACCATTAATGCGGCACGATATTGTGAGACTTCAACAAAACTAAGGCGTGCCATTCAAAACAAACGAAGAGGAATGCTCAGTAAAGCAATTGTGTTGCTCCATGACAATACTCGGCCTCATACTGCTGGTGTCACTCAATCGTTAATTCGACAGTTTCATTGGGAGCAGTTCGATCACCCGCCGTACAGCCCAGACTTGGCACTGTCCGACTATCACTTGTTCCTGCACATGAAGCGCGAGCTTGGTGGCAAGCGCTTTGGATCTGACGATGACAGGAAAAATTCTGTGGAGTCGTGGTTATCGAAACTGGAGGGAAGTTTCTTTGACGATGTTATACAAAAACTGGTCACCCGCTATGACAAGCGTTTGATCATTGGCGGAAACTATGTTGAAAAATAGTTTAAGACATGAATTTTCGTGTAAAAATAAAATTGGATTCGAAAAAATTGTTTTACTATTTTTTTTTTTTCTTCAAAACGGTATTTAGTTTCCGAATACACCTCGTATGTCTGCCATGCTATTTAAAAATTAGGCTTAATCGCACTTAACAGCTTTTAAATTGTTGATAATTGCACAAATATTGCTTGCAGATAAACTAAAGGCATAAAATCTTAACCGGAAGATAAGAACAACATAAACGAATCATTTTTAAAGCAAAAATTGCACAATTTACAAACATATAAGCGTAAAGAAACTGAGATCACTGAGCTGGGTAACAGAGTGGATATATATATATAAATATATTTACATATAAATTTGGTGCAGACGACTGCAACCAAAATACGAGGTGCACATCTACATGTTATAACAGTCCTATATACAAAATTTCAACTTTCTGAGGCTACTCGTTTTTGAGTTATGCGAGATACCTATGTACGTACATACGCCATGAAAAATTCTCTTCAGAATTCATTTTAAAGCAGTTTTATTTATTTATTTATTTTTTGAGGAAAAGAGTCTTTTATTCTGTCCTTACGAACAGATATCACGCGAAAACATCGTTAAATTGCATTCGAAAGTGGTCAAAATGGATATTTTCGTTGAAATATGCTGCCTGAAACTTTTCATGATTACAATACTTCCTTTTTACTTCATACAAGGAAGTAAAAATCTCATTTTTATACAGAATTTATATTCATTTTCAGTAAAAAGCTCTGGCAAAAGTTAAAACAAATTTTTAAATATTCACAATACAATATGGATATAATTAAATTTTCATTCAGTTTTAAAAATCACATGCGATATCTTTGGTGTCTTTCATAAAAATATCTGGAAACTGTATTGAACTAAACAGAAATTTTTACTAGAGATGAACAAAAATTATGAAAACTTACAAATAAAGCAGGTTTTCTAACAAGCCCCCTTGTTTTTTCCTCTGTATAGGCACAATGAGCAAGGTGAGCTTCAGATATTGATAATATTGTTGCATACATGATTTGTTTGAATTTGTAATTTTGCACAGGCTGCTGCTCTACGTCAGACTGGGTCACTTGAATATCTTCGTTTTTCTCTCTAGACCTTTTCGGCACTCTACCATAACGAACAGCTGTAAAAGATGAATTAAATAAGATATTAAAAGGCAAGACCAGTACTTAATTTCTTAAAAACTACAGTAAAATAATAGTAAATGTTACTCAAAACTTAAATATCCCTGCAATGATTTAAGTACATTTCACATAAAATTACACAAATTCTTTTTTATATTCCATTAATTTTGAATGCAATTAAATATACTAAGAAAAACTAAACACTGAGAGACCAACTGACTGAATCTAACTATTCTTGATCATAATGGGATAATATTAATAAAATTTTGAATTTGAAATTACTGGTATTTTATATGCCATTCTGTTGTGTCCATTGAATTTAAAATTTAAAAAATGATTTCCAATATAACATTCCTAAAATGATTATACAAAAAATTAACAATATATTTCAGTTTAAAAAAAATAAAAATTTCTCATAACAATAGCTTTGCATCTATGTCAGCAATTTAAAAAAATTACAAAGGATTGCACTAAGATCTGGTGTGTGTGTGATCATGGCAAAACCTCGAGGGCTATCTGCATAAGAGGAGGGATGCCTTCGTGGAGGACTTTCTAAGGAAAACTGGCTCATATACATGTTACACATAAGGAAAACCGCAAAAACGCCCATGCAGCCAGGCCATTCGCGGGATTCGAACCTCAAACCGAACTACCAGTGTTCAGCGACTTTACCACTCGGCCGCTGGTGGGCAAGAGAAAGATCTGGAAACCTGCACAACAAGCATATACTAAGTACATTCAATTCTTGATTCACCGGGTTTTTTTTTTTCTAAATAATAGTTTTTTTTTTTTTTTTTTTTTTTTTTTTTTTTTGTGTGTGTGTGTGTGTGTGTGTGTGTGAAGCAATGGAAAAATTACTGTAGCAAACTATTAGAATAAAACAAAATTTCTATAGGAAATTCAAATGGGGGAAAGGAAATGCACAAGATAAAGATAGCAAAGCAGATTTCAAGTCAAGTACTTGGGAACACTTTTTATTCACAATAATAAGAAATTTAATTTTATGCTATTTAGAATGCATAAACGTTGCTAAATCATCAATTAAAAATGAATTGCTAAATCGTAAAAATAAATTAACTGTATGTTAAATAGTAAATTAATTCTACAATTAATAAACTCAGTAAAAACACATTCATTGTAATCTGTGTCATACAGAATCCTATCAAAATTCAAAATAAATACAGTACAAAGTCTTTAATCCGGACTCGCCAGGACTTCAGAGATTCCAGATTAGGTTTTTCCGGATTATAGATCATCAATTTAAATCTGGTAGGATGGCATGCAGAAATTATAAAATTAAAAATATGAAACCATAATTTATGAAATAAAGAGCAATTATGATTTAAAAGGTACCAAAATTTACAAAAAAAAAAAAAAAAAAAAAAAAAAAAAAAAAAAAAAAAGGTTAATCTTTTGATTATGGTAACTTGGCGATTTTTTTGGCGAAAATTTGGCAACCAGCCCTGCTATAGCAACCTGCTAGTTTTTGTTTGGACGTCATTTTTTTTTTTTTTTACTCAACATTTTTTTCCAACAATCTGCTAACCGAATTACGCTTATGCTAGAACTTTTACAAAACAGAAGTGCTTAATCCTGACTTAGATTAGGTGCCAAATTGGAAGAACGTGCAGAATCGCAAACTGCTTGCCGCGTTTTTAAGAATTGCAAATACAGGGTATCATCCATGTACACGTCGACCTATTTTCACTTAAAAAAACATCCCAGAATTTCACAAAAATGGCATTGTGCACACTCTTGACTATATCCATGTACACTGCTAAAGTCCTAACTAGTAACCTTTATCGCCTTACCAAAATGTCGCCAAACTACCTGTTACCATATTCCAAAGATCAGCCAAAAAAAGCTTAAAATTTATTTGTTTACTTTATTAAACATTTCTTTCAATGCGCACATGCGTAAAGCATACATTACGCATAGTCGAAATTAGAAAATTGCAACCAGAAAACTATTTGATGTGTATTCATGACATTTAGAATGACAAGGAATTTGATTTAAATCATATCAAAGACGAAGTACATTGAAATGAAATACTACATTTAATAAATTATAAGCCGAATAAAATAAAAAAATCTGCCCTGAAGATGAGGATAGTGCTGACAGATCGATTTCCAATTCATTGCACGTTGCGACACAAGGTGATTCACTGGCTTGCTTGCTTTTTAACCTTGCCCTCCAAAAAATCATAAAAGACTCCAACATTAATACTCGTAGAACTATCTTTAACAAGACTGTTCAGATTTTTGTGTTTGCTGACGATATTGACATAGTCGCACGCACTCCCGAGTCACATAGAGTGGCTTTTAACATCTCCAGAGGCTGCAGCCAGCAAAATGCATCTAGCATTCAATCAAAATAAAACGAAATACATGCCATGCGGTAATAACGGCAGATTCTATTTTGAAATTGGGAATTACAAATTTTAAATTGTTAGCAAATTTAAATATTTAGGATCAGAAGTTAATACTCTCAATGATTTAATGCCCAAGAGTCGCAGATGATAACCGATGTTTTTTTGGTCTAAAAAAATACTTGAAGTCTAACATCACTAGTAGAAAAACAAAGATTTTAATTTACAAAAGCTTAATCAGACTCATTCTTATACATTCTGAGACCTGGGCAATCACAGAAAAAGCTAAAAGTATCATTTCTGTCTTTGAAAGAAAAATTTTGAGAAGTATTTTTGGTGGCATAAAATGTAACAATATCTGGAGAAGAACTAACTCTGAACTCTATAAATCCTTGAAAGAAATAGATATAGTACAATATATAAGGATTCAGAGAATTAAATGGGCAGGACACCTGTGCAGAATGGATGAAAATCGAGTAACTAAAACGATCTTCTCGGCCAGACCATTCGGCACCCGTAAAACAGGGAGCCCTAAACTTAGACGGCTCGACTGTTTGGCAACAAACTTAAGAATTTTAAAAATAACCAATTGGATGTCTATGGCCAGCGATAGAAGAGCTTGGAATTCGATTCTGAGGAAGACAAGGGCCCATCCTGGGCTGTCTGGCCATTGAAGAAGTTGGACAAACCTAGTACCTAATATCACCCCAGTTACTCGGGAATCTATATGATACACAAAATGGTTCCAGCAATTCAAAATTTATACGTTGATGAAGTTTAAGAAATAATTAATGCTTCTATAGGGTTACACTGAGATATGTTTAAAAAAACTGCTATCAAAATACAAAGTTTCATTTCTATGAACATAATTTATGCTGTAATTCAATTTTGTCTAATATTAAAGCTGATGTGTTTCTTTTGTGTTAATAAAACTCTTCAAACATAAGAGGTTATAACAAACAAAAAATATGGAGCTGAGAGCTAGATGGAATTAGCGTTCATGAAAAACTATTCCTCAATCATAATTTATTTAAATACTCATGTGATGCGAGACTTTTTTACCAGTAAAAATGAGAAGAGTTGCTTGGTTGTTTAAAACAAGCTACATGGTCTTCTACACTTAGCTTTAAAAATTAATTCTCCTGGATTAATCGCTTCAAAAAAAAAAAAAAAAAAAAAAAAACATCTTTAAAATGGCTTCCCCATCTCTTTGAATAAATTGGATTTGAAACTACTACTATACAAGTTTTTTTATCTGACATTATGTAAACCCTACTGGCATAAGATATCTCAAATTTACTAATATTGAAATATTAACATTATAGAACATTTAAACAAATATTATGGAATGATTAACTTACAATCTTTGGACATTCCAACATCCAAGCATTTTCGAAACCTGCAATACTGACACCGGTTACGATTGAGACGAACAACTAAGCACTGTTTGTCTCTGAGGCATTTATAGTCGATTTGTTTCTGGATGCTTCGTCGGAAAAATCCCTGAAAAAGACCATTAAAAATTCAGTGGATGCAACAGAAATGAAAATTAAAACACATAACAAAAAAGTCAAGAAACAATTTCGCTCATTTAATCATAATTTTAAAATTACAAACGAGTGTCATACTTAAAGTACAGAATCATGAATTTTGGACTTTCTAAACATTTGATTTGACAACTTAATTCATTAACTAATGTAAAAGCGGGATAAATTCTTAACAACCCCTTAAAAAAAAGTTGACTCATTAAGCATATTCAGGAATCCTTCACTGAATGCTGCTTTTTGAACTGTAGAGACTGAATTTTAGTTTTAGTAGTAATATTTGATGCATTACAACATATTTATATCTCTTCCACGTAGTTTTTATCCACGCATATTAAACTTCAAAATAAATAATCTAAAAATACATCGTTGTTATTATACATCCAAGCTTCAGTTGAAAGAACGAAAAGCCGGGGGAGGAGATGGCGTCTTGGAATTAAAAAACTTTTAGGCTTAAACATACCGAAGCTTACCAGAATATCAAGCATTGCAAATCAAGAAAAATACAGTATTGCAGATATAAAATAACCCATAATGCATTTTATACATAATGTTACTCATATCCTACCGTTAAAAATCAACGAACGAACAAACAAAAATAAAAGAACGGCCATGTTGTGGTTTACGATTAATATGAATATACATATCAAATAATACATATTATTTCTTACACTAAACAACATATACAATAGCGGTCACGCTTACATGTTTATACGATAATATACAATTCATGAAAATAAATAAATTATTATATACATACTGCAAATAATTCTGGTGCATATATTTATGCAACGAGATGCCAATGTTTTGAAGAACCGGTTTTTTCACAGTACCTGTTCGAAGCTCGTCTACTAAGCGTAGTTCATGAAGACGTACGAGATCGCCATAAAGTAACACTACCGAAGAAGATACATATTTTCAAGTTTATACATTGAAATTTACTTCTAGCGGCAAATTATGAAGTAAATTTCGTTTTTAAATTTGTTTCATATTAAAATTAAACATTGCACTAAAAAAGTGATGAAGTGGCACGTACTTGCTACCACTACGCCCTCTTCTGGCCGTTTTGAATTCATAATAAAAAAAAAAAGGGTGGGAGAAAAAAAATCAGAAGAAACATTTCACAACGTAACGATAATAATAACAGTTTCAAAAAATATTTTAAATTATTTCATTTTAAATTTTGCATCACCAAAAATTGTACGTTATATAATATGAAAAATATTTTTTTATATAGTATTATATCAACAGAATAACTGATAAAGATCTTTCTGCAATACAGTTTTAAAAAACTGCGATACATAAGAAATTAATGCGTTATTAGTATTCCTATATTTGACATTTCACAAATCGAAGAACATATTGTTTACTGAATCATGAGCAAAACAACTTTCCTCTTGTAACCTGGCAGTTGGTGGAGCCAACAATTCCGAACCACTCAAGGACGCATTGCATTTTACTGCAGATATAAAATAAGATTTGAACAAATAATAAATTATAGCACACCTTATTTCTAAATTAATGATTCTTACTGTGCCGATTGACGAAATTCAAACTGCGCTTCTCATGTCTCGAAAGCGAAACACAAAATCGGACTTTTTCTGAAATGACATGCCATTTTTTTTTTTTTTTTTTTTTTTTTTCCCCCTCCCATATTTCGATTTTACGGCTCAAATTATGCCTAAATGTTAAATTTTGTAAAATTTGGTGCAAGATTTACGGAGAAATTCAAAAATTTATTTTGGTGTAAATTTTTTTTTCAGTTTTCGCCAGAAATAATTTACTTGCCGAACTTCTTAATTTATAGCAACCCATTTTCCTTTTCTTTTTTTCGTTGTAAAGAGCAGAAAAAAAGGTCATGCTTCATACTTTCAAATAATTTTAACAAAGTGCGTATTATCGTTTGGCGTTATTATCGCTCAAAAAAACAGATGCCAAATTAAAAACGCTCCAATATACAAATTCAATTATAGCTTAGAAAATTTTGAATAAAAAACTTTAATTTTTTTGCAGGTGTGCCTATAAATACATCTACTCTAAAATGGTGTTAAAATTTTTGTAGGTTATAATACAAATTTTTTCGAAAAATTTATAAAAATTATTTTTTAAAATACATATTTTTAAAATAAATACATATTTTAAAAAATACATATTTTAAAATACATATTTTAAAAATAAATCATAAAAAATTGGTGAATGTTATTTGGAATGTACCTAAATTTCGATCTGTGAAAGAAGGAATCAAATAAGTGTAATACAAAAAGAGATATTAATAAATACACACACCATATTGAATTAACATTGAAGAGCTAAACTTTTGAGAGCTAATTTTTTAAAAACTACTCGTGCGATTATTACAAAACTTGGCAGTTTGGCATAACTTGAGTCGTAGAATCGAAATATGGAAGAAAATTGGCATGACATTTCAGAAAAAGTCCGATTTTGTGACAAAAATGCCTATATTAGAACAATGCTATATATATATATATATATATATATATATAATACATATCTTAAGTCGCGCTTTCGAGACATGGACAACGAAATTTGAATTTCGTCAATCGGCTCAGTAGAACAACGAGTTAATCTTTCGACTTTTACTAAAGATTACCGTGGAGAGGATTCCTTTACTGAATTATTTGAAATTTTACTTATGAGGAATAATTACGTAGCAAGTCCTTTATCTTCGGGTGATCCTCAGTAAAACTCTATCATGGTACCCACACATAACATCTATCCTTAATAAGTTTCGAGTTAGTAAAGTCACACTTCACCTCTTAATTTCTCGAAACAGTGTACTTTCAATAGACAGCAAGTTGCTTATTTATAAAACCGTATTGCGTCTCATACTATGCTACGCCTGCCCGGTCTGGGCATATTCATGTAAATTTTATAGAAAAAAAATTGCAACAGGCACAAAATTGTGTCCTAAGACAGATTACCAATTCGCCCTGGTACGTTCGAAATCAAAAATTACATGAAGAATTGGGTATAGAACAACTTAAGAGTTTTTACTGCCGGCTCGCCCGGAACTTTTATGCCAATCTTGTTAATATCAACAACCCAGTTATAAGGATTTACGATTACGACTTTAATGACCCATAATAATAAACGGCCTAAGGCCATACTTAGTATAACTTACTTAATCTAATACGTACCTCTTAACATTGTGTTATAGATTTAAGGTTTAATTATTATTAGTGCACCAAGAAACTCACACTACCTTGCCTATTATTTATACGAATGTTTTTTCTGCATCGGACTATAGCCAGCCCATTCCTCCGTTCTTGGCCTTCCCAAATAGCACTTCAGGTCTATTGAAACTTGACACACACTTTAATCTTTTTAGAAATTTATCTTTTAATTTATCTCTTATCTTATTTCTACTCCTATAATTTAAAAAATGTTAAAAACATGATTTAATTATATATATATAAATTCTAAATATATACTAGTTACTCATGACAGTATTCGAAATAACATATCTGTTCTACAAGGGGTAGGGTGTTGTGGTTCTACTGGGACCCAGGCACCCTGGTGCTACACCGTTTTCCCAGTGCGTCAGTAGAACGGGAGATATAAAACTGTCCTTTTTTTTTTTGTGTGTGTGTGTGTGTGTGTGTGTGCAGTGTACGTTTATGCAAATATGAACTCATACATCCATACACAGATGCATACATACATTTCTGAATCCGGTCCCGATAAGAGAAGAGTACACAAAAAGGCTTGACATATCATATCCTCGAAATGGATGTAAATCTAGTAAAGGTATCTTGCCCGATGTGTTTTGATATGAATTAGAAGCATCTCTCACTGTTGTCTGTCAGTCCTTGAATAGCCACTTCAATGTCATTTTTCCCCTCCGGCTTGCCTCGTAACCATGATAACAACTGAGCAAGAGAGTCGAGTACACTTCCCCCCCCCCGCTTCATTTTCACTTAACGTGTTTCGCCTCGTAAAAAACCGCACAAATGGAGAAAGATTACAATTTCAAATTAGGAGAAGATAAGTGCTGTAAGATAATCATAACATGTATTGCGCTGTAAATGAGGGACGGTCATATTCAAAACATCTATTTTATTGTAAAATATATAATGCGCATTATTACGTACTTGTCAAATCAGGAAAGTTTTTTATTATTATTATTTTAAATTTTTTAATGTAGTACACTGAAGCACATATACTGGAGTTTACCCAAAAGTCCTCCAGTGACAGATAATAGCTAGTAGTTTGGATGCCCAGCAAGCAGGGGCTGACTGGATAAGATCGCTGTCTGTTATATTACGTTCTATGCAACTATTTGAAAACATTAGTTAACATTTCCGTTGATGTTTTTAATTTAATTGCATACTCTATATAAAATTTTGCTGCCATTTTAAAACTCTGAAAGGGAATCAGAAAAATCCGAAGTTTTTTTATACTTTTTAACAGTGATAAAATTTTTAGAAATCAAAATGTCATGTTAACCAAGGCTATTAACGGTGGCACGTATTTCTGCATGTGTAACATAATATTATTTGTAATAAAAATGCAGTAATGAAAACTGATAGGTCCACACAAAAATTTCTGAAAGTGTACACTTAATAATATCATAATTATAAGTGATAAAAAATGCCCTTAATGATATTTATTCTCATATTACCAAAATATTTCTGAACAATAGCATTTTTATTGGTGTGATTTCCGAGATATTTATTTCGTATCTCATTTACTAACTCCTAACATAATTAAAAAATATGTAATTCATATTTCGTCACTAAAGTTTCTCGATTTCTTCCCAATTAAGCAGGAATAACATATCTCATTAAAGTTTTCTTGCTAGTTTTTCTGTTTTTGCTTGTTTAGACTGTCTCGATTTTCGTCCCTTTATTTTGTTTAGGCATTTCTCTCTTTCTCAGCATTTAAATACTCGTTCATTGCCTTTCTTACTTTCCCTACAGCCCAATTTAATATTTTCACAAGTTTTAAGTCTCTGATAGCTGATTAATGTCATCCATATTTCGATATATTTTGATTACAAGGCTATTTCAAATGACAAATGAAAAGACACAACAGAGAAATGAAATTTACGACCAGCTGTATAAATAAACAAAGACTACCTCAATTCGATTATAAATTGGCAGCTTGAGGAAAGCTTAAAATTTCTCTTTCACACGCAAGTTTAAACTATAGGATAAGAATTTAGTATATGCGTAGCCAAGAACAAAGACGTGCAATATTTCAAACAGATATTCAAAACAACGAGAAAAAAAAATCTGAAAGGTTTCAGATTTTAAATTACGTCCAAAGGGGCGTTTTTTTAACGTTTTGTGTGTTACTTTTATTTATTAAGTATCATGTTCTTAGCACTTAAACAATAAATTTCAGTTCAATAGCAATGTCGCAAAATAATTTTAAAATGAGCGTATCTTTAGAATTTCCGATACACAGTTCCGCGCGCTAGAGATTAAAAGGTTCCTCCCCCCCGCAGAGTGTTGCCATTGCTAGCTTTTGAATCGTCGAGTTTGTTACTCAAGAATTTTAAGTTTTACAAAATATGAAATCGATAATAAAACAAATTCCAAATTTCAAATTTGGTCCTTCACATGCCCATATTCGTAGGAGTATTTACGTCATTCAAAATTCGATGGCTCTATGTACCGTTGTTTTATCACAATGCGAGAAATATACATACATTTATGCAGATTTTTTATTATTTAATTTCTTCAAATATAATGCAGGACTCTTAACATTTGGTGGCAACAGTTTGAAAAGTGATTGGCCGTTTACAGTGATTCAACGCAAAATCGCAAAACGAAAACAATAGTCCTTCAGGTACAAAGACCCTTTGGACTAATAATTTTAAAAGTGACCAATTGTATAGAAATAGATTTTCTAACGTATTCTAGGAATTCAAAAACGGTTATTTATATTTGGAATAGGAAAGCTCGAGCTTCTGCATCGTTCTTTACAAATCAGAAGGGAGGAGTAACGTTTATATGGGAAATTACAGCAATTTTCATTTGAAATGTGGATTTCTATTTGCAACAATTTCACGTTTTGAAAAATGATTTTCTATACATAAGAATTTCTTTCCTTAATTTCTTCAAGTAATACTTCTTTACAAAATACACTTAATATTTCAATTTTAGAAGCATCTTGAAACTAAATTTACAGATGGATTTGAGACAATATAGACAACAAAACGAACTGGAATTTCTGATAACAAAATCAATTTAACTACAAGTACTGAAACCGAAATTTTCTGTACACAATTTAAAAATATTTTTCCAGAGAAAAAGCAGCGCATTACTATTTCTTTCAAATGCCCTCTTGTTTGCAAGAATTAGATCGTTATTTTTTACATATGCACTCTTGTTTGTAAGAATCACATCGCTATCACTATTTGACACTGTAGCATATCCTTCATACATATGTACTAGTTGACGAAAAATCATGTTTCCGAAAAAAAGAAAAAAGTCTTCCAATAACATGCAGTACATAACTTTAATTTCATATGTGTAACCCATGATGAAACATAAATAAAGAAAAACTGAAATAGAATGTTAGCATTAATCTTCATTCCCAAAATTTTAATCAACAGCAGGGCACAAAACAGATTTCACAGAAACCTAAAAGCACAATTAATATAAAAAATAGTATTATTGTATTCCCTTTAAGATGTATTAAAAAATAAGCACGTTACGTAGTAATAGGAATTTTCAGTAAAAATTTCAAACCTTTCCAATGAAAACACACAAGCACAGAAACTATTATAACTAACGAAAACATAGCAACTATTATTATTTTGAAATATGATGCATTTAACATTTTTCTTTTTCGTACTACTTTAAACATTGCTTTTTGGACATAAATGATTGATTATTTAAAGCGAAAACGAGAACTATAGACCTAGGAAGGGTGTCCTTTTCGGAAGACTTGTAAGGATCTTAAGTTTTACTAACGTTTATTTTATTTTAAATCTTTACTATCACTTCTTATTTTCTACTTCCGGCCAGAATTAAAAGCTTTAACTTATTTATGCAAATTTGTCTTGCGAACGCCAAGTACTTAAGTTGTGGCTTTTTGCCAAGCAAGAGAGAGGAAGGAGTTAGTAGAAGCAGGCCGCTTGCCTTAGCAGTTTTACTCGGTTGCTGGTTGCCCTTAAAGGCCAGAGGTTTAATCCTCTTGATAATTTTTAAACGTATCGTAGTGTTAACAGTTCTCTGTACTACATACGGCCTTTCTGTTAATATACGGCCAATCTTCGAGTAGACACTTGTTTATTAATCCAAAGTTAAGTTTAGTTAGAATTTAGTTAATATTTTTATATTCTTACGTTCAGACCACGAGTGGTTGGTCTCTGTATTCCGAAGTCCGGAAATCTTTGTAAAGAGAGAAAAAATAAAGGGTTTTGTATACCTTTCCTGTGTATCTTGTCTACTTCCCACATTTATTGAACATAGCTTTAGTAAGCTCCCTGTTCCGAGTCATCACATTGAATGCTCCCCAAGCAAGTAAGGAGGAACACTGAACCTGATAGACTTCTTAACGGATACTGGCTAGTAGTAGGATGAGCCAGCGGTCTCAAATTGCATGGGAACCTAATGCGCGATAACGCATCTGACGGCCTAGTGTTTTCTTTACTACACATTTATCAAAACATACATAAACAGTAATAAAATGACAAAAG